TTAAAGAATTTAATCCAAACTAAGAAAAATATTTCTATAATATAATTTCTCTGCCACCATATTTTAATATAGGAATCAGACAACTAGAATTGTATTTTTTTTTAGGAAACCTCTATACATGAATTTTTTCATCACTTCTAAATAATGTGAACTTCAATTCATTACTCTATATTATTTTTTTTCAATTATTTATTTTTTACAAACATTTTTTATATACTCAATTTAACTGATTTTTTTAATTAATCTTATTAATAAAAGATTTTCTAAGGGCCATTTGACTATAATATCTCACTTTGTATAATACATATTCAAAAATCTTAGGATCATATTATTTTTAGATAGTTTCAAGAAAATTTTGTATATTTTTTCTATAGATTCATAACAATTTTTTTTTGATTATTGTTTTGAGATAATGTTTATCATATTAAGTCATTTTTTTTTAATGCTTGCTTCTTGGAGCAACAAAATTAGTATTGAATTTGTGAAATTTCATAATTATATTATAAATTGTAATTTTACCATATCTGGTTTTTTTGAAATTGTTCTTTCAAAGTTATCAGCTTTATGGAAACTGATAATTTTTCTATACTTGAAATCTATTAGCTTTTTTTTTTTTATTATTATTAAAAAAAGTGATAAAATGACTGAGCAAAAATAATATGTATATATAGAACTATTAATGTAGATAGTATGAAATGTGTTACTTTTTTTTTTAGAAAGTTACACAGTTATATAAATCAAAATTTATATAAATCATTAGAATGGTTTTAAACTTTTAATCAGTAAGTATATTTTATAATATATAAAAAAAAAAGTTATTAATTATTTTATTAATTTTTTTTTAAAAATTATCAAATTCTTTTAAAAATTATTTTTGAAATATCTTATTATATTATTTTTTTAAGTTTTTTAAAGAATTTTAACTAATTTAATTTATTATTGAATTTTTTTATTATATAATATTTTTAAATAATAATTAGTTAAAATTTTTGAATTGATTAAATTTTTTAATAGTAAAATATAAATAAAATATATTTTTTCTATATATTTCTTTTTATATAATATAAAATTTAATAATATAATTAAATAACTTATTTAGAATATAGTAGTTTTTAATTAAAATTTAATTTGAAAGTATAATTTCTTTAATATGATTTAATATTTTGCCTTAATATATAAAATATTTAAAAAATATATTAAATATTAATTCCTTAAAAAAAAATAGAAGAAAAAAAAACATCTTATTTTAATTTAACAAATATTTAAGAAATTTATTAATTTATTTCAAAAATAATTTAAATAAAATTAAATACTAATTAAATAAAATAATAATTTTAAAAGATTATAACTTAAAAAAAAAATCATTATTAGAGAACTAATATATTTTTTTGATTAAAAATCTTTAAGCACAGAATTTCAAGAAATACTCTTATAAAAATATTCTTAAATATTTTTGATTAATAGAAAAATAATAAATATTTACAATATATTATTTTTTTATTAGAAATTGTTTGAATTATTTAAATATTTTATTTTTAATATTATTATATTATAGATAACAAAATATAACAGGTTTATCAAATATATTATATATAGTATAATCTATAAATTTGAAAAATATTTGTCAATATTTAAAATTAAACAATATAAATATAAAAACCATAACAAATTTATTAAAAAATAAAAAAATAAATAATTATTAGAATAGATTTAACAAGTGCCAATTATAATCTGTCAAATATTATCATAATAAAAATATACAATTTGCTAAATATAATAATAAATTAAATTTTTATGAATTGTAATTTTGTTAATTTGTTAAATAATTTATACAAATTTTATAATAATTATTATATTGAATTGTCATAGCAAAAAAATAATTGTTAATTGTTGTTATACCAAGTTTTTTATAATATATTAAATATCAAATAACATAAATTGGATTAAACAATAAAATTTTATTAATAAATTTAAAGATATTCAACATAATATTTTAAAAACAATATTTAGACAAAATAAAATTATAAAAATTTTTTGGTTTTAAATATAAATCAAAAAATTGACTTTGATAAAAATAATTTCAAAATTATATTTATAAAATATTCAATATACTGTATACTGTATATATACGTATAATTCAACTCTTTTCTTTATTAAAAACTTTTCTTGTTAAAATTATACCACAATTTAATCGGTAATTTCCAATCTTTTTTAATTACTTTCGGTTCAAATACGTTAAAATCACAGTTCTCTAATCTCTTCAAGTAAGCATCACACGGGACCTAAATTATATTTAAAAAAAACGTTAAATATACAAAAATAAACACGTTAATAAATGAAAGTAAGAAGGCAAATTTACCGCTGATAACAAAGCTGGTATAGCTTCGTCAGGGACATCTTTGAGAAATGATCTAGCAGTTATTAAATGATCATTTGCCAGAGTAGCTATTTCAAATATTGCATCGTTGAGGCCTTTAACAGGACCGGATCGTAAGATCTCTTCTTGAGAAAGGTTATACTATTTATAAGTATTCTTATTGAGTAAATTACAATCTATTTAATATTCCAAAATGGAAAGGAATAACGACATTTCTACCTTCGCAACTATTTCAGCAGGTATCAGTAATCTTTTTTTACTAACAAGATAAGGAAATGCTCTTAGAATGGTCACAATTCCGATGGCCTTTCCAATATGACTTGCAGCATGATCCGCGTGTACATCCTTCACGCCCAATGATTCAAGGTGTAAATACAAAAGGCACGATGCGGTATTTTCACCATACGACTCTAAATCTTTGGTGGTAAAATATGGCGGATCATTCAAATTAGCATCCTAATGGCGTAAAAATACTGTGCAGCATTAATAAGTAAGTGATCAGTTCGAATGAAAAACCAAATTGAAGCATACCCTTTCATCAATAATTCTCTTGAAAAAAAATGGAGATAATTTACATATCTCCGTTGCATTGGCTAAAACTTGAGCAACCGGTTGGTGAGGTGGCTTGCCCTATAGGAATACAAACTTTTGTATGTGTAAAAATCCCAGGAAACCCTCGGAAAAATAGATCTAGTAAATAAGAATACTACTTTAAATACGTTGTCAATGGTTTCCCTCCAGAATTGCATTCGAATTTTACCGATGTGAGGGTTGCTTACGGATTCACGAATCAACACCAATTCAAGATTAAAGGCGCGTATTGCTAAATGAACTTTTCGAAGTGGTTTTGGATAAAGCATTGAACATAGATAATTTTCCGGATCATGCTTTCTATGTCAAAATTCAGTATAGTTCGAAATAAAAAAAGAGAAATCAATATTTTGTGTGGAAATGGCGGCAGTGAAGCGGTATTGAAACAGTTCTCACCTTACAAGATCATTACAATATTTGATTCCAGATTCCAATTTTGAAATCTGTTCTGTCGAATCTGTACTAATTTTTCGAACATTTAACTTGTTTGAAGTAAAAAGTGAGAGACTGAAATGATTGAAACCTCTGTTTGCAAAAAATCTCTGTGCCATGATGGATCCAAATTTTCATGAAAAGATTTTAGATTAATCAACAGGCACGTGATTTATCCAATAAAGAAGTGCCACAAAAAAAGTTTATCGTAATTATTTTTAAAGGTGGACGGAATTTAATAATTATTTGATATATCATTTCTGTAATTCAAATTGTATAAAAATTCGCTCTTGCATGATAAAGAAAGATGGTTCTCTCGATTGGACAAATCTTATATGTTATACTGTTGGTAATAAATGCGATGGCTGTTTTAAATGAGGATAGGTTTCTTGCCAGAAGTAAGTTTAATTCTTCTGCTTTTCTTTTTCTTATAATTTTGAAGAGTAAGAATTTGATTCAGTAATTCTGCCACAAAGTCGGAATGAGCAATCAACATGAGCCAGGATTTGGTGTAGAGGGACCATCACTCAGGACAAATATCATAAACCTTATATCAGCAGTTAGAACATTAATGAGAAGTAAGTCGAATCCTAAATTTCATGTATATATACGTATACGTATTTTTTTTTCCATATCTGATATCAATAATTATCTATTATTTAACCCGAAAAGTTCCTTTGATCGCGGTGAACATCCTTGTCATAATTTATGAGATATTATTGGGATGAGAGATTTCATTCATTGTGATTAGTTGACAGTCATGTAATTATGATAGCAACTAAGAAGAAAGAAATGCCAATTCATTCGATTCTGTCAGGCCGATTGTATTAACAGTTTAGTGGATTAATTTATTTCTGATCTGATCAATTACCAACAACTAAAAAATAGCAAATTCATTGCTGTGTTGTAGAGTGAGATCCGATTCTTTAAATCAAAGTTGACGTAAAACATATTGAATAACAAGTTACTTGCCTTGTATTAATATATTTTATCGTATAGTATAGATCTACTGTTCGGATTAATTAATTACGAAAAATAATTTACAACCTGTTAGCCAACAAGTTCGTGATAAATTCCCGATATCTTCCAAATTCTAAGTTAATTTTCGATTGAATGAAAAATCAAATAATAAAATTCATTTTTGCTCTAATATTCATTATTCCGGAATTTTATCGTCCGTAGGAATTTCTTTTTCGATTTTTAAGAGATTATCTAAAAGAAACTTTAGATCTAGACCCACTTCCCTTAACTGTATAATGACAGTATAAAAATTAATTAATAGAATACGTATGAATACATAAAATAATTGTAATTTTGATTGCTACTCATCAAATTACCATTAAACAATGTTCCCTGGAACATCGCAAACACTCTTGTACAGTTTTTTCATCTCTCACGTGATAGCTATACACCTGACGCCGAAACACATTTACATAGTGTTCCAACTCTTCTTGCGCCCATCTTATCAAACCTAGTTTCACAAGAATAGCAAATTATTATCGATATATTTATCTGACTTCAAGAACGATAAAGTCGGTTCTTAATTCTTAACTCAAATTTAATTATAAGTGAATTTATTTACCTGATGTCATTCTTATGTCTCTGAACGCTGCACTATACCAATCACATGTATTCTTTATGAGAGTAAAATATACAATCGACAATTCGTTGATGTACTGAGGAATATCCCCTTCGAATTTCAATTGTCTGGTTTTTTTAAGGTCACAAGTTTAAATTCACTTGTAAAGAAATAATGAAACTGAGTTATGAGAAAACACTTACTTTGTCCTTATCCGGATATTTTCGCTTCTGGCGACAAGAAACAGATCGCGTGCCTATAAGAAAAAGTTCTTAATTTCGCTCATCCATTTTTTTAAAGATTTTTTTCTCGACATAAAATGGTAAGTTTGATTACGTGTTCTCCATATCCCAAGCGGGATAACCATCGTACGCATTTTTGAACTTGTGTCTTTTTAATATCGGGATTACTCAAATCTCTGCTGATGGCCAATGATAATCTAACTACACGGTCCTCCATCTTGGAACGAATCGAATCTAATTTTCCCGCATCCGCCGACACATTGGTTAACGTGGCTTTTGCTATCGGATGAATGTTAAAATTTTAATAACTTTTACAATGAATGAATATACAGTATACGCATTCAAAATTCAAGAATAAGAAAGAGAAAATTACGAACCTTTCTCGATATCCCCGACAGCTTCTTCAAACTCTCTTGTTGCAATATGAACATCTAACTGGTCAGCCAATTCTTCAATTTCACGAATATCATTTGTTGTAAGTTCTCGTAAGCTTTTTGAGTCCTTTTGCGATCGTGATGCCGACATCGTACCACGACTTTTTTGTGAGAGTGTTCTTATGAGCGGTGTGAGTTGTTGCTGTTGATTCGAATTCTAGAAGTTGTGTACAAAAGAGATTGTAAACAGAGAATTTCCGAAAAACATTCAACACTTTAATAGCCACTCATAAATACCGAAGCTGTGAGAACAAAAAAACAAATACTTCATTAGGAGGTCAATCGTTGGAACTCAAAATGCGGTATTCACATACCAGCATATTTCACGGCTTTAGCAGCCATCATCTCTTCGGTGGCACGTTTAGTCAAACTAAATAAATTTTTTTTTTCCTCAGCCCCACTAGCTTGAAAAATAAATTGATCCGTCGGATGCTTCAAAACTTTGATAAGATTTGTATGCTCTTAGATCGCAGACGAAAAAGAAGTGATGAAATTAATTGTTTTTATCTTTAATCAAAATTTCATATTAGGGATTAAAGGAAGATCAATAAATTACCATTAGTATCCTTCATCTCAATTAAACTAATGTCATCTAATCTCCAACAACGATCCGCTACTAGTTTAGCCTTTGATGTATCTTTACTTTGTCTCTTCTTTTTAACGGCAATCAATAAGCAATCATTCAGTAAGAATAGGTGAACAGCATGTTTAGGCTTATTCGTGCTAAAACTAATTTCAACAATATTTGAATATTCGCGAATTATATGACGGCCGGGTTCCAACGAGACGAAATTCTGCCAAACAGAAAATGGTGACAATATTTAGTATGAAATAATTCCAGGATCCTATTATTAGAATTTAGTGTTTTGCATACTAACCTGTGCGCCTTCTACACCATCCCAGAGCGCTTGAATTTGTGCCTTCCAGATCGATTGCATATCAGTAACATTGTTGGTGGTTGGCTTACGTCCCCTATGAACAATTGGCTCAGATGTCACTGATGGAACTATATGAATGATTTATTCTTAATACAATAAAAAATGTATATATAATAAATCAAGTTTTTGTATGAATCCGTACAGATACTTCACGAGACGTACCAGGTCCCATATTAGTAGATTCTGTGCTATCATCCCATAAATTTTCACTGACGTTCCTCAATTCATTCAGCAATCCTCGCAAGACGAGCATATCACTTTCTAACTGTAGATTATGGTTTGGCGAGTTAAAGACAATTAAAAAGGATCAAAGAAAATTTGATATTTGACTAGTTGCAACATGAAGGATATTTGATATCTCCTTAGATATGGTCACAAACTCGTTATAATTTTTATACACATTTCTTTGAAGATTCCCAGCTGCTAACTCTCTAGATTCTTTTAATGCATCTAGAAAAGCTCTAACTTCATCCTCCGAGGAATTTCCTAACTCCTTTTGAATATCTATCCATTTTAAAGCAGAATACTTCCGTGTGATTAACCAATTCTATTTTGATTTAATCTATTTGAATGTTAACATACAAGTTTCAGGTTTGAAGTCCTCGCTAGCAAACTCTCTAACGTTAATTAACGTGTAGTTTTCTTTTGCGTCCTCATCGGGGGTAAACGGTCTAGCACTCGAGCCAATATTCCGCTTCCCTTCACTTTTCAACAGACCACCCCGACTCATTTCTTTTTCTTTTTTATCGAGTATGTGTCGTGAGCAGAGATTTTTTAATAATTTTAAGGGTGTTCTCCATGCGACACCTCTACGGTTACTTGTGCACACTGTGCAGGTGAATTTGTATTATATTCGAGTGAAATTTCCGAATCATGATCAATTCCTAATATAGCGATAGAAATTAGTGAAGCTGGTGTATTTATTATAAATAAAATCTTTTCAACCTAACCTATCTATCAATAGCAAAAAGTTTCTAGATATAATTTATGAAATGGTATGTTGCTTACTTATTAGATAAATTAAGATTGAAACTATAATATATAAAAGAAAAAAAACAAATTTCTTATAATTGTTAATATACTAATTTTTATTAAACTTTTATTTAAAACATTACAAATTAGATTAAAAATATCCATTTTTATTTAAAATATTTAAAAAATATAATTGCAAAGTTTTAAATTAATATAAATTAATTAATATTAATTTTATTAATAAAAAACCAATATAAAAATTGTAATAATTTTGTATATTTATTTATTTATTTAAATAAAAAATTATTTTATTTAATATAAATTTTAATTTTTAAAATTTTTTTATTTTTGTATTTTATTTTAAATATATTTTAAAACTTAAATAAAAAATAATATAAATTTTATTAAAAAATATTTATTTTTAGGATTTTAAATGATATAAAAATTTTTTTTTGAATTATTATAAGCAAATATATTTTTAAAATTTTTATTTAAAAAAATAAGTTTTTATAATATAAAAAATATATTCAAAAAACTTTATAAAATAAGTTTAAGCAAACTTGTTTATAATACTATTTTTGATAAATAAAATCTTTTTTTTAAGTATTAAATTTATTAATAATTATTTTTTATTACTATGGTGCCTGTCACTTTAACTCACACATTTTTTTGTAAAGGGTCCAATTTTTTTTATGCATTATCACGTGCTTAACCATATAACTTATTTAAAAAAATCAATTTTTAATCATAAAAAAAAAATCATTATAATATAATTTAAATTAAATATGATTTAATTAATCATGACATATTTATATTTATTATAAAATTTTTTTTTTAATGTTAAAGTGAGGTATTACTCATGATCTTTATTAATAAAGCAAAAGTTTAACTTGTTACATAATTAATATTAAGATATGAGTTATATCACTATAGATATTAACCTACCACCTATTAAACAAATATGTCATTTGAAAAACCCTTGAGCAGGGAAAACTTGAGAAACTATTTGTTATAAAAAATAAAAAATAAAAAAAACATTTAGGGCAAGATCGCCGGCATTGTAAAGTATTTGAGTAGAAAGAAAAAGAAGAAGAAAATATTGAAGCTTTTATTAGATGTGGTTCCTGAACGCAATTAATTGTTTCAGTTGGATGTCGGCACCGCGCAAGTCACATATAACTCGATGGGTTTGATCATATAAGGTTTTGTGGTGTTGTTGTTATGTGATGTTGTTATGTTGTGATGTAAATAATAGGATAACTGAAACACGTTCCAGATGTCTATTATATTGTTTTGGTAAATTGTTATGTATTGTGATTACCAGAACTCGCGCAGGGTACTGGTCACGCGCTCTCCCAATCCGATAAGTTGTGATGTTGTTTTGGTGTATAGAGATGGTACGAAATATGATTGGTGTTTTGTGTGTTGTAGATCATTTGATGGGGGTAAGCTAGTTGCGATTTTTGTGTTGAATTTTATGAACGAGGACTGATAACTAGCCAGAAGATTATATGAAATCTTGTACTAGTTACCATCAGCAGAAAACAAAAAAACTCTAAAAAATAAAATGCTGCCTCTTAAGAGTATGATTGTTTTTGAGTTAGAAATGAGAGATATGTTTGTTTTGTAGCAGTTGTGTATAGAGATGGCCTTCACATAGGAAATTTTCTTTTTATTCGTCTTCTCTATTCCAAGTTATTGCCCAGTGCCATTACCAGTCACTAGACCTCTTAATGCAGGCTCCATTGCTAGAAACCCCAGGGGCCAATCTTATCCTTGAAACCTTCACTGCTCTAAATCAGTCCTCCGGTCTATGTCTCCTCCCAAAAAGACATATTCCACTAGACAAAGTTCCTTGGAAGAAAGAAGCTTCCTAAAAAGGCAATTTTCTACGGATGGAAGTGTTGTGGGAAAGAGTTTTTTTTTTTTTTTTTTATTTATTATAAAATTTAAATAAAGACATATTTATATTTATTATAAAATTTAAATTATGACATTTCCTCTTTTATTAACTATATAATACTTTGAATAATTTAATATAGTGAGTTGCCTGTTAATTATAGTTTAAAAATTTTAAATTAAATTTCAAGTGAAAATATCTAAATAATTTTATGTGATTTAACAGATAGGTAAGTTCTGATTAGTACACGATTATAAGATTTTTTTTTTTAGAAAAAAAAACATTCACTTTTATCAGGAGTAGATGGCCATTCTGCAAAGCAAGGTCATACGTAAGCCCCCCATTCCATATTAATGCGCAATTCCAAGTATCCAGATAATTCCATATATAAAGTTATCTACCAGATGTATCTAAGTGTTAGATTTAAGTTAAAGATCCCAATAAAAAAAAAAAAAAAAAAAATGCCTATTATCCCTATCATTCCTGTTATTCTTGTCATCCTCATAATTTTTATTACCTTCACTATTCCCATTTCCCTCACCATTTCTATTTCCCTTGCCGTTCCTATTTCCCTTGCCGTTCCCATCATTCCTATTGCTTTCGTCCTCACCATTCCTATTAACCTCACCATCCCCATTGCTCCTACCATCATCCCTGTTGCTACTATCATCTTCGTTGCTCTTGTTCTCACCATCCCCACTGTCTTTACCATTCCTTCCATTACTTTATCTTTATCAGACTTCAAATCAAAACGTAAGTCTAAATAAAAGAACCCAAGTAATTTCATGATCTAGATACGATAATAAAAAAAATTAGATACTGCGAAGCATCACATAAATATCCTAAATTTACCATGCAGATCTTCACCAAAAACCACTGAAAAAATGAGACGCAATATGTAAGTGGTGGCCCAGAACCTA